CTCTTCCATCCCGTTCGCCCTTAAAAACGGTCACCCCCTACCTCTGCCTCTGTTGCTGGTTTGTTGTCGCGTCCTCATCTCGTCAAACCAGCACATATAACATCTATAGACTTTTGGATCTTGAAAACACTATTTTTATTATTTTTCCCCCTCTCTCGCTCTCTTTCTCTTTCACACGCCGTCGAGCCAGTCCCTCCGCCAAAAGGTTTCGTCCTGCGAACAAAACTACCATTACATCTTAAGGAAACGGGGAAATACATACAAGCAACAACCATCAACTCTACCGTTGCACCTGGTTCTTTGTCAAACAGGGTTAAGAAGCAACATCCCACCGCGAAACCCGAAACCCCACGTTCAAAAAGAACTCCTTAGCCAACTTTTATCCACCGTTGGGCCTGCCATCCACCCATCGCCACGTATTTTTTCGCGTGTCCGGTTCATATCGCCCCGCGACCCATTTTTCGCACGGTCTTCACTAGGAGGGCAAAACGAAACATACAAAGACGTTTATATCATGCCATATAACCTTTTTTAAAAAGGAGACATACTACTCTGGAGCCAATGGATCTGCTATCTCAGCTTTTCGAAGCAAACAGGCGCGAAAGCTCAGAACGAAACATGGAATCAAACCAAAGCTTTCCCTCCTCCAACCCTGCTCCTCAATCTCCTCAATCTGTCGCGTCATCCAACCCGGGCTCGCCTGTCGTATCCCTCTTCTCCGCGAGAGCCCATAACAGATTCCCCAGCTCGACATCTTCGTTAGCCTCTTCACCTGGCTTGGGGAGTCTCACGGAGGGATACAGCGTTATGAAGACGCCTCTGACCGATGTCAAAGAGGATCCACTTGAGCGCGAAACGAGCGTGGTTGTGGGAAGCCCTTACTTTGGTGAGCCTTGCTGTTGTTCGCAAAATGGAGACAGCAACCGTTGTATTTCTTCTAACATCTCTGGTGCAATTGTAGCAGACTTCAACCAAGTTCACTCCGATGATGGCTATCCCGTAGTGCTAGAGTCCTACGAATACGACCTATCAGATGATGTGGTCGAAAAGCCAGGTTCACCCAAGAAGCGAAAGTCAGATAGCAACAGCACAGCTACAACTTTTCGCGGTATCGCTGGCCTGAGTCACCGATTTACTTCCATGTCGTCCAAATGGAGACACAAACAAAAGGTGGACACCGCTGCGGCGGTCTTGGAAAAATATGACGAATCGCTGCGATCGCGTGCAAATTCTGCGACGTCAACGTTGGTGAGCCCGGCTGTCAGCTCCCTATCCATCCGCCAAGGTCACCATTCCCCCTCCCCAGCAAGAGCGGTTTTTGAGGAGCGGATAAACGAGGCCGGTATTGCACCCATAGACGTTGATATGGCCAATCGACAAAGTATGGAAAGAGAACCAAATGCAACCACACCCCTCCTGCCCCCTCTGATGGTAAATCTCCCGAATGGAGATGATATATCGCCAGCACAGTCGCCATTACAGTCTCCCTCCGTGGCTGATAGGGCCAACCGCAACACCATCGACCCTTCCAGACCAACATGTCTACCTTCACCGCCGCTATCCAAACAGCCCTCAGTATCATCCATGAATGGTCAATTGGCGGGAGCCAAATGTCCTGCCCCGTATCTCTCCCCGGTTGCAATGCCGGATACGGACGATGAGTGGTCCGACAAGCTGGGCCATGCGAATTTCACCATCCGACCTGAACCCTACCTCCCCGCTGCTCGAACGGTCGAGGCTTTTGACGAGCACTGGAACAACTGGGAACTTGCCCGCTACAACTATGCGAAACACCTCACTCGCATTTCAGAGCATTACGGCGCAACGTCCAACATCTACCGGCTCACAGAGGAGAAATGGGATTCGGTGGAGGCTCGGTGGCGAGAGAACCACAACCAACTCGTCACGAGTCTGGAGGATGGCAAAGGCAATCCCGTCAGCTTGCTACACAAGCCGGACATCCACCCCGTCGAAGCCATCAAAATCCCCCACCTGGACGACAAGAGCAAATTCCCCGACCGTGGCGATGAGGATATTGTTGGTCCAATGTCCGTGGCGCCAGTTCTGCAACAGTCTTCATATCCCTCGGGCAAATCGTTACGGAAGCGAACGCTCTTTAAGTTCTTACAAGATTTGTTCTCCCCGAGCATAAAAGCCTGACAGACGTCGATGAGACTACTGTTGATCCTTTGTAGCATCATTGCCGTTCCCCGTTTGTTTTTATTACTATTGCTCCTATTACCATTATTTCCTCATTAACATAAAGGACCCGTTTTCGTTGTCTGGGCATTTGTTGAATCAAATTGGCCCCCCTCTTTCCCCTTCGATGTACATGTACAATCTAATTTACCCGACATGTCCTATTTCTTTTCGGTCCTTTCCTTGACTTCTCGCTTGCCATGATCAGTGGCTTCGTGCACCACTGCAACCCTTGGCAATTTTTAGAGGACTTTCACCGATGTTTCCCTGTTTCCCTTGTTTTCCTACCATTTCGCTAACCATTATTATATTACTCCATGCAACGACCGATCATGTCGGGACGATGAATGACGCTCCTTTATAGAATTGTTGCTGCTTTGCTAGAGATACCCGCCCCACGCTCCTTTTTTGTTATGCACTACAGCCAGACAGATAAAACATGCCTACCTCGTTATTGTCCCTAGAACACTTTCTATACCCTATAACCTATAATTCTAATCTATTTTCACCCGCTACCGGGAACCGTTTTTATTATATTATATTATGTCCCGTTTGGCTTCTCCATAATTCCCATGAGATTCCCCCCCGCCGTATTTTTTTTTTTTTTTTTTTTTTTTTAATTTTTTTACAATCGATAGATAGATAGATAAGCCTCTATATCGGGAGGTTCTCTACGCTCACGCTTCGAAGCCCACTGCTTCTTGTCTTTCTTGTTATAAAATCGGATATTGATCGATCACATGAGATTATGGAGCGATCAAGAGCGGGTGTTTGGCAGTTGGCAGTTGGGGGAGGGAGAGGAGACATAAGATGGGGAAGGGAGAGCAAGGGGAAGGGGAAGGGGGAGGGACGAGCAGGGGACGGACAAAAGCCGGGAATGATGATGAATTTTAGTTAGTGAAAGCTAGATCAGAAACGAACAAAATATAACTAACTAGCTTCATATAACTAACTAGCTACTCATACTTATACTTGCAGTTGCAATTGCAATTGTAATTGTAATTTTTCCTACTGGCGACCATGTATGTATATGGGCCTGCTAACCCCCGCAATAATGAATGAATGGGTGTGGATGATCGTTGACCGGGGCCTCGGGTTCTATCTATCTATCTCTCTCTCTATCTTTCTATTTACCTATCCATTTGTCTAACTATACCTCCCTGTTCGGGGGCCAGGGTGCCTCATACATACATACATACAGGCGTACCTCTCACGCCCCGTCTCCCAATTTTTCTTTCTTTTTCTTTCTTTTCTTTTTTCCCTTTTTCTTTTGCCGGGGGGGCCGGGGTATGGGGGGTTCTTTTCAGACAGACAACTCAGTCCGCCAACATCCCCCTCCTCTCCTCGCTCACTGGTGGGGGGTGGTTTTGCGTGGTGGCGCAAGGAGAGGGTTTCGGGGGTTTAGTTAGAAAAGGGAAGGGGAAGGGTTAAGGTTAACCTAAGCTTAGGGTTAGTTGGGAGGTGGTGGAGGTGGTGGTGGGTTGTCGTTGTCGGCGATTGTTGAATATGGGGTTTGTTTTGCCTTATTGTGGGCTATGTTGGGTGGAAGGGGGTTGTGCTAAACTGCTAGATGGCTTGTTGGGTTGGGCTGGTTTTGGTTTGGAGGATAGAGCGGTCGTGATTGATGATGACGATGATGATGATGGAATTGAATGATTTTCAGGGATGAATTTTTTTTAATTTTTTTTTTTTTTCTTTTTTCAATGCTTAACTAAATGTGTATGATTCTATGTCAGTTTTCCTTGAAAATTGGTGCGTTCTGCTTTATCCATTCTTTCGTTACTTTATTTGTTGGGTTCGTTTTTTGCTTGCGATGAGACTGAGGGGTGTTCGAAGATCGACTGCTTCTCGGACAGCTGCTTAAAAAGGACTGGGACAATGATTTGCAGAGTGCAGCACGATGGATTTGTTGGGGGGAAGAAGGGGGGGTGGTTGTATGGGCGTTTTGTAAAGTACTTAATAAGTGTTCCCACACGCTATCGCTGCATTTTGCGATATCTCGGGTTAGGAATCGTTTCTCTTTTAGCGTTGGGAAGTTTCTCAGTTGTTTGTTGGTGTTGGTAGTTGCTGTTATATGCTCTATGCTCTATGATCTTTTTGATTTTTCGGCGTCGAAAATATAATACCACCACCCCCCTTGATTATATCCTCGATATTCCATTACACAAGATCCACCCTATGAAGGCCTCTGCTCTGATAAGGAAACGCCTATAGCAATCCGTCAGGTTTAGAAAGGATAATCGTTGGTTAGATGAGTCTGTTGGAGAGGGAGCCCTCAGATGATGTTCATAGGTAGTAACTAAGACTTCATTTTCGTTTCCCAGGCCGTGGTTGATGGACCCAATTAACGCTCGTGCGTGTTCACTAGAGAAGGTCGAGACCGGCACAAATTTCTTGGGCAGTGGAATTTCACACATTGACGGTAGCCCGGGAGGGGTTTGGGACGGGTTGTAGAAGGATCACTGGTAAGCTTATGGACTTTGAAGCAGACGATGAACTGTGCTCCTATTTGTTCCGCCGTTTGGCCACGCCCACACCCTACTGCCTCTTTGATGCGTTGGAGAACCCTTGTGAGGTGTTGCTGCCGGCAAACGCTCACAACAAAGTCCATGTGTCCAGTCGAAGAGCAAGCTTGAGCCCATTATCTTGCTCTATCCACCACACCTCCCTCGCTAACCTGTAACTCCCAGGTATAGTTTCCAGACGGAGCCAATCTCGCCCTGGAATTTGCCGCATTGTGCGTCATGTCACTCAAACGGGTAAAACGACGCCCGTCATCTTCAACAGGTTTTCCAAATCCATGGTACAACAACGCCAGAGAAGAGGACTTCCACATCTTGACATTGTGTCTCTTCGTGCACATCATGACCAAGCAAAGACAGAGTATCGTCGCGAGCACGATGAAAGTAGGTAGCGCAATCCAACCCCATCGCACATGCATGAATTGTTCTGGAAGTCCAACGAGGCCTGTCATCGTTTGGTTGCTGGGTTCGAGTATGGAATATGTGACTGATTGGGCGATGCTCTCCATCATATGCACCTTGTCATTGACTGCGCGTGCGGTTCCAATAAAGGTATTGGATGGAATGAAGTATTCCGTCGACTCGACCCAGGTTGTTGCGTTTCCAACGAGATCAAGGATAAGACTCTTCCATAAAGAGTGGCCAGCAGAATCATCCACGACGAAGGTGGTGGTTTTCTCCTTGTCTTTATCTGGTAGCAGAGGTGCCGTAACGTTCCACCCGGAAAGTTGATTCATCGACGCTAGATGGACAGGCTCCGTCTTTATGGTAGAAACGCCGGACTCGACGGAGACGTTGTAACGCTGAAGACAGTAGGTGAACATGCATTCCATAGCTCTAGAAATCGGCGTTGTGTTTGTGAGAGAAGAGTAGTCGATTTCCAGCCAGCCTAAGGCGAAGAGAGGATTATTAACGCCCGCGAAATTTCCATCAATATATGGAGTGCCGGCTAGGAGAACAGTGGGATCTTCCAGCTTGTAGTTCAGGAGCCAAGCGATGTAACTGGCTGCTCCGACGCCATCATATGGATTAACGACAGGAATACCATGTTGAAAGGAAATGGTGCAGTTTTTCTTCATTTCGAGAAAATCTCCGGGCGTACATGCTCCTTCCAACTTGACCTGATCAGCCATATCAATGCAGCGGCTGCAGACGCCAATTGAATGGAATACTGGCCACGTGCAGTTTCCAGTGGAACAAAATGGTTCAAGACTTGGAGCCGAATCTCCGTTGTATATAGCATTCATAATACCCTTGTCCAAACTAGCGTCCATTCTAAAGCCATTTTGACCTTTAGGCACAATTATCATCAGAATCAAATTTGAAGAGGAGCATCCCCACAAACCAATGACTTACCCTGCGCTGCGTAGCTCACATTGTCGGTACGTAGAATCGATGCTTTGCCCGACTCTCTGTACACAAGTCTGACTGGGTATACAATCAGCTGCTGCATAAAGGGCTCCAGAGCCACAGCTAAAATAGTGATTACCGCTCCGAGGGAGGCAAGATGGCTAGGGGGAAACTGTTAGCCATTTCCACATCTAGCTTGCTGCTGAAAAACCGTGCTCCAAATAATCACTGACCCTCCGCGAAGATAAAAGAGCATATGCAGAGACCCTAGGGGTCCTCGGCTGGCATCATCGAAAATTTGCAAGTCTTGCAGGCGTCTCATATCTTTCATCCATAGCCATTTTAGCTGACTTATGCAGGCTGCAATAACGACCAAAATCGACACCCTTATGGCATTGGCGAGAACGGAAATGATAGCGTTGAACTTTTATGCACATTAGTATTTTAAAGAGCGAGTATTCAGTGTTTGAGTAGTATACTTACTGTAATATATTTGGGCAATTCGGGCACATTTTTCTCTGAATAGACAACGAGCACGGCTATCGTCGCCGCAAGAGCCAGCAGGCTTAAAGCACAGGCCCCGATTTCCCAGAGCCACCAATCGAGGACGAGCCTGGAGTACCAATTCCGCCTCCATAGATCGTTGAAAGTAGCATTAGCCGAGATATCTTCATTTGACGTATCAGGCTCTTCGGAGACAGCACTGACTGCTTCCCGACTCGTCTTGCCTTGAAGGAACTGGTAAGAATGGGACATGGGGAATTGGAATGGAAACCCGCAGATAAGATGAAAGGCAAACTACTCACTTCAGGATATTATTTCACTCCTTTGAGGATTGTCTCCAGTTATATACAGTAATCGCGGCCCCATTATCCCCCACCCTAAATTCCGGCAGGGTGTTTGAAATTGCGATAGCTAAAAACGATGGCGCCGGGTGGCTGTCGCTAAGGGACACTTGAAGCGGGAAAGAAAGGTTAGACCTCTGCCAAGGGGCTTGCAAGTTGCACGCAGCGTAAGTTGTAAGTTGTTCGACTCGGCTGCGTATTTCTGCAGCAAGAAAAGGAATGTCAATCGTAATTAAAGTCAAAACTAGTGATGAAGGTCCAGATACAAGTTGCAAAAGAATATGGAGATGTGGAACACTCGAGCCTCGAGGTGATAAAAATAAACAAGAAACCGCTGAAGACTAGGGCTAGGTTACTAGTTCCTTCGTCCAGGCTAAAAATGGCAGGCTATCAAGGGAAAATACGATCCAGGGCCCAAGCGGATGGCCAACGGGAACTAGCCGTTGACCCCTTACTTTATGCAATTCAATGAACTCAACCCCTGCTTTGAGGTTGAATGAATTCACCCAAAACCAGAGTTCGGAAAATTTGAAATTTTTTGACCTGACCAAATCAAAAAGGCCAAGCATAGCCATATCGATGTGCGTGACTCCTCTATATAACCCATGTCATTCTACATAAAGTAGCCACCACTCTATTTACTCAAAGCAGGAAAACAACGTTTATAAAAAATAACTAATATCTCCTTTACCCATGCGGGGAGGATATGCATGTGGAGAGAATTTGTTTGCTGGTTGCTGACTCGGTAGTCGAGAAGAAAATCAAGCTTTGATTGACAGGGTTAGATCCAATACTGGCCCCAAACCTCCTTCGTAGCAGGTGTTCCTTGGAATTTGAATTCGACATGCGTGATATCCTGAAATCCTTCGGAGAGCATCGGCACTTGGAATCGGCGCTGGAAATCACCGAACGCTATTCCAGGTAGGGAGGAGCGCGACTCGGGATTTATCGATTCCTGTACATCGGGCAGAGATTTAGAATTGCTGACTATAAATTTGGTTAGATAGAGGGGTTTCTGGGTTGCATACGATCCCTGGATTTGCTGCACGAACTGTATCGTTGTGTTTGCAGATCTGTGGTGGGGTGGACAGGTATATGCATCGGATGGGAACGTTCGTTTCCTTTGCGAGATCAATCCAGTACGCTCGAGTTTCTGGGCCCGCATTTGTATTGTCTGAAAAAAGGGCAAAACGAATGAGTGACACTCTGAAATGCTTCGAAAAATGAATATATATATATGAGAGAGAGGGGGGGTTAGTCAAACATACCGACTGCCACAGACTTTCCAGCTTGTAAATATTCTTTTGCAACTTTGAGGCATTTAGGACGCTTTAAGCGCGGAATGGATACTTGTTAGCATCTCTCATACGAAAAAGAGAGGCGTGGTAGCGCTTCACACAATGTGTGGGCGATGTGCGCGTAGGCTTACGCTCTTCAATATGTCCTGATTCACTCTTTCGTAACCAAGGGGCTCTAGATATCTCCAGTAGAAGGTGGACTTTCCCGATCCCGGGCTCCCGCAAAATATGACAAGTTCGACATCGCTCTTTTTTGAGAAAGTGATAGTTGCTATAATACCAACTTCAGAATATGGCCCTCTTCATTTTCTATATGATTCGCAGGGCGCCATGAGCTAAGTAGGCGGCGGATAGAGAGATGTTCTGCTTACGTTCGTCTGCCGATGAGTCAACAATGTATGCTTTTGGGTCGAACGCTCTCAAAATAGGCTTTGGAGCCTCATCGAGGAAAAATTCTTCAGGTGTCTCAAACGGAACTCCGACATTCGCTGCGAAATCTCTGTATGCACATGTACGAATATCAGTATATAAGAAGCATGTAATAAGCATGCGAGGAACAAGTAAGGGATGCTGCGCACCGATCCACACAGGAATGGTCACCCTCGCGTCCTGCTGCATCTCCAACAAATATAGATTGTTCAAGATCTAATAAACCGGCAACACTTAGGCCATGGTCATCGAGCATCTCCCTCCACATCCCCATACGAGGCTTTCTAAATTCGTCGCTCGCTGTGGCAGCGTAAACGCTAAATGGCATATCCAAAGTCTGCATAATCGCCGCAACCTTTTGCTTAAATATAGACAAGCTCTTTGACTCTACTCTGCCGCCTTTCAAATCCTTTTTCAAGCTTATGGCTTTCTGATTCGATAGAACAACAACCAGATACCTAATCACACGTAAGAAACTGAGTGAGTGGAAGCAATTGGAAGGCGAAATGCAACTTCAATGGTGGTCTCACGAACCCTTCATCGTTCAGCTGCTTCAGCTTATCGGGTACACTTGGACTCCACCATTTCCAATCACGCTCGTTTGTTGGAAATCGTCTGCCGGATTTAGTTGCGATCAGAGTCGAATCCTATATCCTGATTAGAATCTTCTAGCTCTGGCCTCTGCTAACCGGTAAAATTTTCAAACATACGAGATCGAAGGCGGCAATACGTCGTTTCTTGCCAGATTTAACCGCCTCCAGAGCTTGCTCTTGGTGGTATTTTCCGATAATGCAACTATTGTTCACAGTTCTCCATGTGACTTGCTCCGGTTTCTTTTGTGATACTGGGGTGAAAAAATTGGCTACAGTTTTATCTATACATACAGGAGTTGTCAATTACTAGTACTTTGCATCAACGTCTGCAATTGAACGCTTTAAAACGAAAATATGCTCACTGGTCGCTGTTCCTATTGCTTTGCGTTTGAGCGGAGGTGGTGAGATGTCTCCGCCATCGGGGCTCTTTCGCTTGGTGCCATTCATGATAAGTCGGACAGTCGAATTGAAAAGAGTGTAGGTATTGAGTTGGTCTTCGGCATGGAAGAGGGAAGATCGAACCATTCGGAGGTACCTGAAGAGGGACAGGGGAGCCATAAATAAGCTCGCCAGAGCGCCATCGACAATTTGAAGTCGCGAAGACGTGGAGGCTCCAACGTCCAAACGCCATGTCACGTGGTTTAAATTGATTCCACCGGGCAGGCTCCCGCTGGCTGCCTACATTTAGGAAAAGACGGAAGATACACAGTCCATAGGCACTCTTCATTTTATGGGATTCGATAGCTGATGACTGGAAATTGGTGTCAACTGGCGTCAACGCTAAATCTGAAGCAATATACATTTCGGTTGCCCTCAAAAGAGGGTTTCATCCCCAAAAAACCAAATCCTGACCTCATTCGAGCAAATGTTGGTATGGTATTTCACTTCACCCTCTTATCAAGGGAAAGCCTATCTTTAGGCTCCAGCTTCACAACAGATTTCAAATGCTCTTTCAACCCCAAAAGTCGTTGAGAATTCGCCTTCAACATGTCTGGATTCCCGCTGTCCTGAGCTGTAATAGAGGCCTGTAAAACATATGCACCGCTCGTATCCAGCAGCAGCATTTGATCTAATGGAGGAAGATATTCAGTTGGCGCCAGCGTTGTCGTGCCACCACCACTGCCACTTTCATGACCTGGTGGGAAAACTAGCACACGATGCAGAAATAATACTATGTCGTCTAGTATAAACCTATAACCTTCGACAACGTATTCAGAGACGTAGCTAAAGTGAACAAGTTAGAGCTTTGCCTAGTCGAGATATAGATTTTAAAACCAGGGAAGAAGCGAGGGGGAAACTAACTTAAATCCCCAAGCATTCATCTCAGGAAGGATATTTCCAGAAGGGAGGTTCGAATTCTCCACAAACCGTGTCGTGACACCGAATCTAGCCCCAGCCTCCGGGGTATCCTTGAACTCCAATCTCCATGACTGATCCGCCGCTACATAGCCCCCTTTCGCGGCAGCGGCGGCGGCGGCAGCTCCATTCCTTGTCGTCGTCGGCGGCAATGCTTCCTGACCATGCTGAGTGCCCTCACCGCCCTCACCCGAACCTTGGGCAAGAGCATCCGATGGCGAAGAAGTAGAAGCTGTCACAGAGCCAAAGTCTCGTTCTCGGACATTTCCCACGACCTGCATATAGTATAGGCCTCCATTCAGGAGCTTATTCAGCCTCTGGGTTTCGGGAGCCTGTACATCCTGGCTGCCACCCGGCCTTGTTTTAACGAAACCAGGTTTTCTGTATGCCTTGAAAACTAGATGTCTCTCAAAAATGCGAGTTGGCTGCATTGCAGTTAGACCAGAGAGCTGCTGCAGCAAATCATGGTGTTGCTTCGCTGGAACCGGAGCGAAGAGCAGTAGTTCATGCATGTGATATCGACGTGGGCTTCCAAAGGACTTCCAGATGGTTTATTATTCTCTATTATTATTATCGTTGCTTAGTATTTTGATTCTCATTTGGAAGTGTCACTTGTCATGTCCCAAAGGTGGAATGGGGCGTTTAAGCTTTGGTTCGGGAAAAGGAGTTGTCCTTCCTCTGGCCGAGGCGACTGGAGCTAGATAATTAATAGGAAGATAAGGTAGGTGATGGGCAGATGAGACGGAGGGACAACAGAGATAACTAATGTAACTAGCTCCAGCCAGAGTTAACTAGCTTGCTCAATTGAAAATTTGAGTTTATGTGTGTATGGAATTATTCGCAGGAGGATTTTGTCCGTGCTTTCGGTCGATATTCAGCCAAGCCCAGCGGGATCAGGAACACGTGATAAATATGAAGACGCAAGTTTGAAGCGGACTGGCAAGCTCCTTTTACATTGGATGTACGGATAGAGAGGGATTTCTTTGGCATGAACGGGACTGTCTGTATGATCTCTATCTGCCAATCTACCTCTCTTTCTAAAGCGAGATCGAGTTGTACTCTACAATGCTGATAGAAGGCAGTCTAGAAAATTGATCTACGAGACTACGAACTCGTTCAAAGAGTGAAACAAAGGATTTAGGGTTTACTCTCAATAATAGCTGTCGTAGCCCGGTTAGCAGTGTACTCTGGTATTCCAGTTCGGAGCAAGTATGACTTCAACCTCGACATTCCTGGAGACGCAATGGGAAGCCATATGAAGGATAAGGCGGAGAAAAAGCAGCTCTATGGCATGCTCGTATCTTGGAAGGCATCAAAGGGCGTGCTAACAGCTATATCGGCGTGCATGCTGGAGCTATTCTTGTGGAGAATCCATGTAGCCCTCGGCGTGATTGGTGTTGTGCTCATCGAGCTCGGACTCAAGGCGCTCACTCTTTTGCCTTTTCCATTCATGGAACTACCTACCCCTTGTGAAGATGGCCGTCGATCGCGGAATATTAACTTTTCAGCACTCACAGCGTCAGACTATGGAATCACTAGGGTCAGCGAAGGCGGATAGAGTCGAGCATCCAACGGATATGGTGAAGGAAAGAGAGCAGAATGGTCTCGTATTTAGTGACAAGGCGACTGTCAGTCCATTTTCATCCTGACACCACTTGATAGAGTCAGTGCCGTGGAGATATGGATTTAATATTATCGGAGAGGCCAGCTTCGAAGATACCGAAGAAATTGGTGGAAAGCGATGGTAAGCGTATGGTGGGGCAGTAAGTCGACTCGGAATGTTCGGCGGCGTGGAAACTTAGTTGCCAGTGGTTGGTGAGCCACCCCGGCGGTGTGAAAAATCCCTGAAGTTGCTACGTTGCCGGGTTCTCGAGAGAGGGCTGGGGAAAAATTAAATAGTGCAGATTCCTACTCACGCTACTCTGCGATAAATGATGCGCATCTTCGAAGTTTGCCGACGATAATTGACAGCGCGCTACTGCTGCACCCTTATCTCGCCCCTGGTCCTGCTTATTCATAACCCGAGTAGTCAACGAAAACTGATTCCGGCCACCATCTGCCTCACCTCTTCCTCCACTTCTTCCTCCACCTCTTCATCTTCCTCTTTCCCTTCTCTCCTCTCTGCCTCGCAGACAATCAATTCCACAGCTGGCAGAAGAGACAGAGATCAAGAAAGAGGCCAACCAGCATATTATTCTTATCCATCTCCTTCCAGTATCTGCCACTGGCTCTGCGCCCCGACTGGAACCTTCAAGCCGCGACGTCTTCCCCCACAACTTCAGCAAAATACCATGCGTGCTTCATCTCTTTTGCAGCAAGCCGCCGCTGCCAGAGCTCCACTGATTAAGTTCATTGGAAAGCGCACTGTTCCCAGTATGCAACCGCCAAAGGAGGGAAACCCGCTTCTTCCGACATCAACCTTGAAACTAACCCAAAATGCTTTCGCCAGAATCCGTTGACCACTCTCCCCGGGCCCATCCTGCCTCCCCTTCCTCTGAGCTGCCCGAATCATTCGCCACCTACAGAGCCAAGGCCCAGCAGCATGGCCCGCTGAACTACTCGGCGCAAACGAACGGAATCTACGGCGGGGCCATTGGAGGCCAACCTGGTGCATCGCTCGGGTCCGTGGAGCCGAAGAAGGGCGAATACTTCGATCGAAATGAGCTTCCTGAAAGATTCAGACGCCTGACCTGGTCGCAAGAAGAAATTGATGCTGTCGAGACCGGCGGCGCTAGCCTGTTTGCATGAATATATGGGGCTACAAGTGATGATATGCTGTCTTTCCTATATATGAATGCATGTGGGACACTCGCAGTTCCTCTGGCACTCCAGGGAAGAGCGCTTAGAAGGTCTCGAAAATAACCCCACCAGGCTGGCTCCTTAGCATTGGGCAGCCGACAATGTCGCCCTCCTCGATACCCTCTATTTTCCAGCTCACAATTCATCCTCATCGAATTGCCGCTGCTGTATCACCAATTTTCTATGGTGTGGATATTACAAATTGGTTTTCCTCACGGTATCATGTGTTCTGGGGAGGAAGGGACAATATCAACTCAGTTTTTGTTACTACTGCTATCTCATCATTTACTAATAGGCGTTGCTGGTTTGTTTGTCGTGAAATATCGCCATTTTTCCAAGCGGGTGATTGGGGCCAATTCTGTTATGAATACTGTTTTGGTAGGCCAGGCTCTCTTCCTGCAATTACATTCTTTGTCAGATAGGGTGTACGGTACTGTCTGCTCAACAAATATTACTACTTAAACCTACTACTAATTGGAATATTCATTCCCTGGAGGCATACCAAGCAGCTTACTTCGTAGATGAGTCAAAACAAATGGAAAGAAAGAGCAAGAAAATATCGGAAAAGAAAAAGAAAAACAGAGGCTACGCTCTCCCCACAACCAATCGACATCACCAGAACTTACTGGTTCTGCAGCCCTAACAAGCTTGGAAGCACAAGCTTCAGCAAATCACAATGCGTAATCAAGACAATCACCCCCAACCTCGAATCCGGAACCTCAACATCTACCTCAACAATTTGCCCCTACTCCTAGCAAAAAACCAATGCATCTCAGGTTAAGCCAATCAAGAAAATACAATGGCACCCATCAATGATGTGATAACTGTCAAGGAAACGAATGAAATCGGTGCGCCAACGGCTACATACATATACTCCACGACTAGCGATCCAACCCAATTCCGTACCCCAGATTCTTCTGGCGTTCGTCATGAACGGCGGAGAGTCGATATTGTTGTATGTCCACATTTCTTTTATACTATATAGAGCCTTTACCTTTTCACCTCCTATCCCTCCATAACTATACCAGGAGCGTGTATCCAGATATACATGTACTGTGCATCTAATAATCTGAACAACCATTGCCTTCATGCTGGAGTGGCATACTGTACATAAAACGCATCCACTGCTCCACTATCTGGACATCAAGCCCTGTGGAATCCCCTGCAACTCGTGCCATATTTCCCACATCAGAACACCCAGACAGATCTTATTACCACCTGCAACGGTGGTTGTTGCACCTTTGGCCCGATTAGGAAATATTGATCCTCACCAGCAGAGCCGCATTCTTATCTTATCAAATGCTGACTTTGCCCTTGCCTTTGCCCTTGCCCTTGCCCTTAGCTGCCTTCACGAAAGGACTCATCATCGTATCTCGCTTCGCTGCTCAATGTTTTTCTACCGGTGGGATACCCGCATAGCGTCAGCGACGATTATCTAGAGTGAGCTACTCCTCTCTTCGCTCTGTTAAACACGTCCAACGCGCGTTGTTTTGCTTCGTTGCGATTAGTAGTCTCCAATTTTTTGGTCTGAAAATTTTTCAAGGAAGAGAAAGAATATATGTTTTCACATGAGCAGCGAGCAGCGAGCAGCGAACAGCTATGCTCGTGTTGTCGCCCAACGATATGCCTTCATTTGATTTCTTGTCTCGTGTTGGACGGGCTAAAGCTGACTACCTCCCGTGTGCACGTATCTGAATCTTTCCAAGTTATCAAATATATGTATGTATTCCACCACTACCACGAAATGAAGCTTTCCCCAGGTTTAACAGCTGTTTAGGATTCGCTTCAGGCGTTCTCAAGTTCAATTGCCGGACTGCTGGCGTCCCGGGCTGTATTACAAGGTATTCTACACATCAAGATCCATCAAACAATGAGAACATGTAAAAATAAACCCTTTTCCTTTGTTAGGTGTTGGAGTAGGAGATGCATCCGCATCCCCAACAGTAGCGCTGTTGCATAGCGTCCTTCAAGACAGCATGGGCAGGATAGCTACAATACTGTTCGCCCATCGTCTAGGGACGTCTCTCGAGCCTGAATGCAAGATGTATAGGCTTGCTGCTGACGTCCTGAATGATTCGGCGTTGATCTTCGATTGTCTTTCTCCAGCACTCCCGAAGCGCCTGAGGGTTGTAGTTTTGGCCTTTTCGAGCGTTTTAAGAGCGCTCTGTGGGGTGGCTGCTGGGAGTTCGAAAGCGAGTTTGAGCAGTCATTTTGCGAAGTGGGGGAATTTGGGGGAGTTAAATGCTGTGCGTTTTCCTAATGTGTTGGTGATCGCCATTTCAGGGGCCGCCCAACGGGGCTTTCCGTTCCTTTTCTCTGATGCTGACCAAAAGCTCCAGAAAGATTCAAGCCAAGAAACAGTGATATCTCTCTTAGGAATGCTGGTGAGGAAATGGGGCGACACACACATAACTGGCCACCTTGGGATGCATGCTATGGCTAACTGGCGCGATTACAGTGCGGAAGCGTCGTTGTCTCACACATATCCACCCCTTTCGCAACGTGGACGACTTTGCTGCTTCTCCTCCTAGTACACCTCTCGACGAACTACGCCGCGGTGCGCTCAGTCAACATGACCACTTTGAATCGCCAACGAGCCAACATCGTTTTCTCAACTCTCTTCGAAAAAGGTAGTGTCCTCACCCCAACGGAGGCATCTAAATGCGAAAGAATCTTCGAGCGCGATGGGATTCTCCGCTGGAAAGCATCCCCCGCGGCTCTGGGATATTGTCAAATAGGGGGTTCGTTCCAGGAGTTACTGCGTGGCTCTACACATGGAGCAAATTCCATTCGTGACGTTGGAATTGATATTTACAAACTTCTACGCCTGTTTGAAAAGGAGGAGTATGTCCTATGGTTCAACCCCATTCATAAAAAGGGGACCATAGTCTTGAAGAATAATGTGACCCCTATATCGCAGCTCAAGGCCTGGAGTCATGCGCTGATAGTTGCGAAGCGCTTAACGGATCTGAGGCGAGAAGAAGCTGATAGGATCAACGTGAGCACGGTGGAGAAGGAGGAGGAAGATAAATCGAAACAACGAAATGAAAGTGTTTCCGTCTCCAACCTTACCGACCCAGACACGATGTTCTCGATCCTCGAATCCACGCTATGCGCCCATTCTGCGAGCTTCGCAGACCAGATCGGAATGCTAACGGATGCTGGGTGGGACGTTGCCACGCCCTCCCTGGAGACTCGACCCGCGAGGAGGTTTGAGGTGGTGGAGTGAGAATATGCCTCAATTTTCCGTCCCGGACAGCATAATCAGACTGGTGGGTGACCTCCACGTGTTTCATATCACCTACATAGGACGCCGGTTATCTTATCTCCCCGGTCAAACCACCAATGGCACGATTTCTACGGCTCACAAAAACCTGGCCATAGAAGCGCCACCGGCCAACCCATGTCGGCCTGACGAGGATTACGTTCTGGATGCGCATGCCAGTTAGCAATACCCTGTACGTAAGAACATGGATAACTAATACTCGTTTGAAGGATTCGCATTTAGGTTCTATCCGGGGAAAAAGCTGAACCTCCGTCGTTTGACGGAGTAAAAAACAAAGAAGGAAAAAAAATGGGATTCCGGGTCGAATTCCAAATGATCAATCGTCCTCTCTCTCTCGGTTTCATATCATAGTTAGTTATATCATACATATATTTCATGGCCACGCCACAAACAAGTTTAGGCAGCCGCGCACAGGGGCGCAAAAACCGCTTTTCTCAGGCTCCCCTTCCGCCGTAAACTTCTTTTGATACTCACGACTGCTGGGAGTCGGCAAACAATGAGTACACGGCTGTAGTGTGCGTACCCGGGACGATCGAGATCTCCCCTTTTCCTCGCCTGTAGTGTACTACTGCCTGCAATAACTTAGTAGTGCTCTCGTAGTTTTTTTTTTTTTTTTTTTTTTTTTTCCAGACTCTCATTGATACGATATTTAGAATTCCATCGCCCGGAATTGTTTTCATTCATTGTTAATAAGTGTACTACTATATGATAGTTAGCAACTCTGAGTGTATGTAAATTGTCCGCAATCCTCCATGCCTACCTAACCTAACCAAACATTGCGTCATCAAGAGTTTGTTTGATGTAAGCCCGCGCTACGTGGAAGATCTCGAATGGACTTGGACTCGGACTCGAACTTGGTTTATTGGTTATTGCTAACTTCAATCAGTTGATTGATTGATTGATTGATTAAATCAAATCTCTCTTTATCTCAAACCACGAGTTATCTACGGCAAATTAATCGTCGCCGCACAAGAAGAAAAAAAATGAAAGAGAAAAGAAAAGCGCCGATATTTGCTCCTTTGTATATATATATATTGGTATTGCCTTCCTTCCCCCTTTCCCCGCGGCAAGGTTAGAAGGAAAGATAGAAAAGCAGTGCGGGACCGTGCGGTGCAGCGGTTAGCGCGCTACTTACTTACTCTTCGTGCTTTTGATCTAATCTCGACAGTAGTTGGTTAAGTAAAGTAGTTTTAACGAAAAGAAAATCGGTCATAAGAAAGGTGGGCAAGAATATTATTCTAACTAAATTTCATGATACCCGTTTCGTTACGTTAAAAAAAAATAAATACCAAAAACAAAAATATGGGTTGGGGAGGGGGAATGGGGAGGGGGGTTAGTAGATAAGGCGAAAAAGGTTTAATAAATTCCAAAACAAATCTCAGGTTTCTCGTTAAGACCTAAGTTAGGTATAAACATTACGCAAAAGGCCGTGCATGGCCTAAGCCCGCCAAACGTAGATGGGGATGAGAGACAAAAAAATAGATGTTTGAGTTGAACGTTGGGACTACGTGGAAAGAGCTTATGAAACGTGAGCCTCCTTTTGTTTAGGATTAAGAAGGAAAAAAAAGGGGGAGGGGGGGGGGGGGTAAAGGAAACAAAGCAAAAAATAGGAGAGGGAATCGCACGCTATTTAACATCAACGTAAACGCACGTAATTGGATACATGCCTCAGGCATTCAGAAAAAAGAAAGAAAAACCAAAAAGAGAGAGAGAGAGAGCGAGAAAGGGAAAACACGTCTGTGAGAACATACCAGCCCGTATATAATGCAAACCGACAGAAAAACAAAAGACCAAATATGCGTGTAATATGCAGATTAAGGAAAACAGAAGCCAGAGCAGGGAGGATGCGGGAACGGCATTGAGACAAAATGGGAGAAGAGAGGAGCTGAGTGGATGTGTGGGTGAGACGAAAGTGTGTGATGAGGGGGAGGAGGAGGGATGGCGAGAATGCCCTTCATATGCAACGCTCATGTAGGAAGAAGTCGCGGTAGTGGCGGCCGTAGCGGTGGTCGTAATAGTATCCATAAAAACAGGAGTTTTGAGAGTATGAGCATGATTGGTGGTCTATCAAAAAAGGGCCCGCTCTTAATCCTCTTCAGTTGGAGGGGACCGGCCATCCCTCGATCCAGCACCCCCTCCACCTCCTGGCCGCTTTTTCCAACCAAGCTTCAACCCCATTTTCTTCCATGAATTTTCCGGTCTTGCTTTGGGACTATGGCTCTGCCCCTGCGTCCCAGCATGCAATCCAACGTCGCTATACGACGGGGTTGTTGGTGGCGTCATTAGTTCACCCGAACTAGGATTGGATGTCATGCTTCCAGAATCATCAGTGTTGGCGGACGCAAAGTCACCACTGGTTGGGGAATAGCTTTGGCCCGAGCTTCGGGATTCCGACCGGCCCACTGACGTGTTGGATGGTAGAGAGTATCCGGCAACAGGCGAGCGTGGCGAGGCAAACGACGACTGGGGTGAGAGTTGCCGGCGCATGGAAGAATGGCGGGGCATTTGGGAATCATCCTCCGCTTTTGTTTCATCATAGGGCGAATGTGGTGTTATCGCAGGTGGACTTTGGCTGTGTAGAAACGGAAGGAATATAGACTCTTCCATTAGATCTCGCATCCTCCTGACGGCGGAATCGAGTGTTTCTGGCCGAGGTGGAGTGGGTGAGTTTGAATGGCTTAGGAGGTCGTCTCTGACCTCACTAGATACGTTGATCTCGCGTGGAGATGCAGGAAAGATGTATGCTGTCAATATCCTCTGGAAGAGCTTACAGAGATGTTGTGTTCGTGAGGGGTCGGCGTAATAATTGTCCTGATACCGCTTCGCCTCCATCGTAAATTCGAGGGTCTCTAAACAATGGTTCTGAGAAAGGAAAGCCATGAAAGCAGAGAGTGTGTAGGGCGGCGGTGAAACGCCGGACAGTACATCGTCCAGGGTCGGTCGAGTGCCGGAAGAGGGGATAGCAAGGCTGAGTGGTCTGGTGTTCGAGTGCCAGCCTTCCATCGCGTTATCGTCGTCCGAGTCACTATCTGAGGGAGCGGGTGACAGTTGAGGCGTATGGTCAGGGGTGGGGGTCCGGAACAAGAGCGCAGAGTATCGCGATGTGCCCGTAATCATTGCGCCCAGACAACGACAGAGCCTGGTCTGCTTCCTATTCCTTCGAGCCTGTTTCCGGACTCTATTCCCCACAGGGCTTCCCACCCCGGTTTCCAGCTGTTGTTGCAGGTTGAGACGTTTTCCTTTGATCCACACAACAGGTATTTTTTTTTTGTTCAACGCCAACAAGAGCGCCTGACCATCAAAATCGTTATATCACTTTTTAAATCCTTTGCTTTTATTGGCGGTATTCTAGCCCCCAAGGATACCTACTCAAGACCCAAGGCCTGAGGAACCAGGTAATTCGAGAATTCCAGACGGTGTATCTTGGTATAGGAGCCCGTGTAGCGAGCTGTGGAAATGTCGTGTGAGCAATAATTATTGGCGTCGAAGATAAGTAAGGGACGGGTTAGGCATATCCAACGAAGCCCTCAGGGAAACACACACAGAGAGTCTTTCAGACGCAGCCTGTCCAAAAGGCGCTGGCTTTTCGTGGCGGAATAGCGGACAGAAACGACTGATATCTATTGGGGGAAAGGGGAGGGGACTGAATTATTCGAAGAGGAAACGAGATATCAACAGAGGGAGATAGATATGTATATATATATATGTGTGTGTGTGTGTGTGTGTGTGCGTGTGCGCGCGCGTGTGTGTATATATATAGTGTAGTGTTTGGTGGAGAAGAGCACACCGAGTCAGACGGGGAATGCACAGTGGACAGCAGGAATAGAGAGACAGAGATCACGAGGGAGTGGGAACAGTGGAGAATAAAAGGAATTTGAAGACGCAGGCGGAATAAGCGATATCAGCCGTGAGACGAAGATCAAGCCAGAGCGAGCGAGGGAAGAGGGCGGGCGTTGCGTGATGAAGTCTGTCTGATCTCCGCCGTGTCTTGCTCTTGCGGTGTCTCTGTGTTGGCCGAGTGTGTCCGTGAGTGAGTGAGTGTGTGTGTGTGTACGCAGAGTAGAAACGGCAACGCAGGTCGGCGGCGGCGGCGGATCCTTGGAAGGCGTGGAAGTCAAAGCCAGTTCCTTCGCAGCGTTCCCTGCCAGGTCGGTTGGCGCTGACATGGGGTGGTACCGGGTATTACAGGGGTTCGGTAATTTAATTCGTTCTAGAATATTACGATTCCGTATGGTGTCAGAACGTGGGTTTTGGGTATCATCGTATCATTGTATCATTGTATCATCATCAACAGCAACAACAAATGCTGCGGTTTCTTGCTTCCAAGGTTCCTTTTCTTATCTCCTTTACAACTATGCACGCCTTTTTGTTGTGCTTTAAGCTACGGGGCACCTAATAGTGATGTTTCAACTGTAGCTAACTATGTATGCCTGACTGGCATCTCTCTGGTTTCCCTCTTCATCCACGCCCTTGCGCGTAACTCCAACCATAACCCCATCTTCACTTCTAATCCCTAATTCCACTTGTAACTCCGATCTGCATATGACCTGAGAAAGGCCATTATTTTACCCAGAGGGAGCTCCACATTGACCAAGCCAAAATTGTAGCTAAAGACTCAAGTCAACTAACTCGCTGGCTAACTAGCTGTCCAGTTACGTCTTTCTTACGTAACAGGTCTAAAGTTTCATTGTTAGTTAACTCACTAAATAACTTGAACTTAACTTAATTGCCTTTGTATCCTATCCTGACTTTCGTGCCAATCACGTTATTGCAAACGCCCGCGGCATCGTTTTGCGATGGGTTGGGAGGGACACTGAAGATTTGATGCAATTGCAAACCATCCACCAAAAACCAACGGCTCCCCTTCAGTCACCAGTTGAGAAAGCAGGTTGGGATGGCCCTGCTTTAAAACCGCTCAAATCTAACTCTTGGCTTATTACTGATGGTGCAAACAAACCGGGTTCGGGTGTGGCCATCTGGGGCTGGCTTGGTTGAACAAAGACCTCCCCCCAACAGCACCAGGATATCAAGCATCAATCACGTCCACCTTCGAGCGCGTGGCGAGAACCTCGCCTTCCAGACTCCAGAGGAACTACCTGAAGGGGAAATCAGTCACCCAGGATCTCTCCCGGATACAAGAGCTTTGAAAATGGATGGCAAAATAAACCACTGGCATCCTATCAGAAAATGACGTAGATTACCTTACTTTGCCACAGGGACGCTGCAGGTATCCAGCCTTCTCAGTTGAGCAAAAAGTATGAACAAACCGACAAACCGACAAACCGACAAACCCGACAAAACCAACAAACCCGAGATAGACAGGATTTCAGGTAGGTTGGAGACTTTCTGTGCTCAGAGTTTGTCCACCAACGATGAACATGCGTATTCGCCCAAAAATACAGAATACGGAGATCCACGATTAGCGCAAGGCCAATCTGCAATCAAGACCTGGTGGCTTGGACGACACCCCTCGCGGCGCACGCTTCGGTCTTCGGTCTCTTGTTCTTCGTCTTTTCTTTGCATGTTCGTTGGCTGTTTTCCGTTTTTTTCTTTTTCTTTCTTGCTTCTTTTTGTTTTCTTTTTCTTTTCTTTTCTTTTTTTTTTTTTTTAACAACGGCGTTTGCCTCTCTCAGCCTGCTGCTCACTTGCCAAGACCTTCTCAGTTCTCCACCCTCATCCTCACCACAATCGAGACAAATCACAACAACCAGCCCGCCGGCCCTAGCAACACTGAGAATCAGCGGAGTGTAGCCGAATGCTTGCCAGACAGGTTAATCACGGAGATACATGCCGCATTGGGAAGTCGAGCCAAGGTTTCCCGTTAGGGCTGGAGATTGTGAATCCTGGACGAAACATCCAGGGAACACAGTAATCAGACAATCCATGGACTCACTATGGATATAACAATCACGTCAGATCATATCTCCCGTTAACTCAGTTAACTAAGTTGACCAACTCTCTTGAGATATCACGTCATCAACAAGAAAAAGAAGATAGACAGGACAGACAAATACAATATACAAACCCCCATCAGAGCCCAACGAATCCCGGCCTTGGCGCCCAGCCGCCACAGAGTTCGGTTCGTTCTCCATGCTGGAGCAAAACCGAAACAACCAAGAAGGATCCTTGAACTGAAAATTGGGGCTTCGAACCTTTTTTGTCTCCCCGGTCACGGCCCTAACACGCCCTAAAAATAATAAGCCAAAAAAAAGAAAAAGCCCCAATTTTCTTTGGTTTGTTGTTGTCAAGGCCGCTTAACTCAGTAATAAATTCATCGTCATCATCATCATCGTCATCATCACCATCAAGATGGCAGCGCAGATCACCGGTCACAGAATTGGAAACCCGTGGGCGTGGCGAGTTGGATTACGATGGTTGTGTTTAGCGCTTGGGAACGGATTGTTACGGGAATTCCCCCATGTTTCCTGAATTACACTTACGGAGGAGGAGTCACCTCTAACGGATGAGGCCCAAGGGGCAGCACTGAATAACCACAATACCAATAGGCACGGGAGGGACCTCCCATATGTTGACGTAATAGTCTCTGTCAAGCTCCAGGGCGCGGAAGCATACAAGAAGAAATGAATGGAATGAAACCATTGGGGGGAAAAAGTATCTATCTATTATCTATCTATAATTATATATATTGAAGTTTTGTCCTTCTCCCGCTGTTTGTTTTCTTCTCCCTTCTCCCTTCTCGCCACCCAAACCGTATTTTGTTCATTTTTTTTCCCGGAAAAATTATGAATGTTCCCTTGTCCACTGCTTTGCCACAGAGAGAACATATACTAATGAAGGAGACTGGAAGATGCCGATGTACTGGGGCCGACCTGACAATTTTCCACCAGGGCCACATCAATCTTTTGTTGGCTTTTGTCAAAGATACAAATCTGCGAGAGCCTCTCTCTCATCGGTGCCATATAAAGCAATGTTAGGGGGAGGTCATGACTTCTCAATGGCCTCAATAAATAGGCTCCTCAAATGATAATCCTCATGTTATGCCGCTAACTCTCTTAGCAACAACGATGTTCAACCCCGTGCCACTCTCTTTGTCCGGCAGCGGAGAATTTTTTTTTTTTTTCTTTTCATTCATGGTGGTATTATGTACCCTCCATACAGTTAGAATAGCGGCGTGGTTTTTAGAGGCCATCTTCCAGACCCACCACCACGTATCGAATCATTCTCGAAGTCCTTGGCATTCCCCCCCTCGCCGCTTTCCCATCGTCGCGTTCTTGTTGTTCACCGCAAAGGGTCCCAGCGTGCATTCAGTGTACCGCGTAAGCGAGTAATACGCTGTCCGATGCGGTAGTGGTAGTGCTGCTCGTTTTGCAATCGGGAAAGTGTGAGGGCTGAAATTCGCTGATCAACGATATTGACAGAATTTGTGGATGACGGTTAACTAGTTATTACTATTCTGGTTATTATTATTATTATTATTATTACTGGTAAGTAAGTACATGGAGACTCGCAGAAGGTTTTTAAGGAAGGTGACACCACAGGAGAAAGGAGAAATACAAACACTAGCCACAAACAGGAGTCGCCGCATCTACAACGACAGCTGCAACTGCAACTGCAACTTGCGCAGAGAAAATAAAACCTCTGATTTTTTTCCCGATGCATTATTAGCGAGGTGTGTTTGATGTTGGTTTCACAACATAATTACGATAAACAGTGGCTGGGTTGAAGCGGAGAAGGAAAAAAAAAAAAACAAACATCCATGAACCAAAAAAACCCCCCATCATTCTTGGACGCAAACGGACACGGTTTTTTTCTCAAAATAAAGAAGACAAAGTCAAGCCAAGAAAAAGTGAAAATAATGACGCCAGCGGCGGGAGCAAGCAAAATAAATAATAAAAAAAAGCACCGAGGTTAGTGTCAAAAAGTTGATCCATCGACCACCAGCGCCCTGGCGTTTGCGGGTCGACCAATCGAGCACTGCCAGGCTGTCCACGCTTGGGAAGATAAGCAAAAATCATCCGGCCGGGACTTTATTTGAGTTCAGCTGGGGGGCATCGAAGCGACAACGGATTGTCAAGCCGTGCCTTAAAAAAGCCCAGTGGGATGTTGATTGGATATCATCGGCACCCTTGCTAAACTTACGCCTCAAGGCCAAGGCCTCTAGCCAAGTTCAATCAGAAATGCTTGCGTCGAAACCCCCCCCCGTATAGTTACTAGGACACGAACCGAGCAGTGGAAATGGGGCGAGCGAAAATGAATATTAAATCATGATGATGGATAGAAGAGAAGGAAGAAGCGGAAGAAAGATGGCGCTGCTATTATTTGGAAATGTCACGTCTTGGAGCTCATTCAACCATCGTCGTTATTCTTCATGCATTCACCCCGTATATGCGCGCCACAGGCCGATTTCGGAGAAATCGAGAGAAGCCTAAGATCCTAGCGAGAACATTGAAAGAAGGAACGAACGAAAGCAAGGAAGAACAGGGACCAAAGAAGAAAAGAGGGGGAGGGAAACAGGGAAAAAAGGAAAGAAAAAAACCACCCAACAAGAAAAGAACACCGCCAAACATGATAAATAATGATTTGTGGGAGGATATATCTTTCTTTTTTCGAATAGCTCACATTTTCCCCCTCAGATTGCCGTATTTATTGGCTGTAAGCCAGGAGAGAAAGCTGCCAACCCCAAATGCGACGGGTGTTTTTTTTTTCTATGGCAAGCGCTTCGACAACAGGATTGGCCTGGTTGGGCCAAGCGGAAGCCCAATTAAATCGACCGTTGATAGGGCTTGGGAAGAGAACACATTCCCGACATTCCATCCTTCTTGGAGAGCTTGTTGCTCCCTCGGAAATTAGGCGCTCCTATTCGTCAATATCAGGACAGGAATTCGGCGCCAGAGAGCGCTGAGCCCTATGGAGATTACATGTAAACGCCCATACGGACATACGAGCATACATACTGCGTACACGAATACTAGCGGCGCAGGGTATGAGCGATACCAGTAATATATTACAATACCCATGTTGCACCACGGAAATTCCAGAAGCCTGCCATCAGCAGCTGCTTGTCCGACTTTATTTTACGTGCATCCAACTGCACGGCGTCCGCTTCCCTTCTTCCTCCTCCGTCAAGAGAAAAATGTAACTACAACATAACGCGATGTAATGTCCATATGTACCCTGGACCAGGCAAAGGGAAAAAAATAACGTA